TGAAGTCTTACATCTGAGCAGCACTCTCTGATTAGGAACAAATTCATCAATGAAAAACAATGTATAAATAACTTTTAAAAAATATTTTATTTATTATTTTTATTTTATGTGTATAAGTGTATTGCCTGCATGCATGTGAGTGCACCATGTCATGCAATGCAGTCAGTGCTCTTAATTGCTGAGCCATCTCTCCAGTCCCTAAATAACTTTTTATATGGACTTAAGCCTAATGTCTGGGAAGTGTAATCCCTTGAACTCTTAAAGAAATGTACTGATGACTTTACTCTTTGGTTATACTTTCCTTTTGGGTGTTTAAGACCATACAGTTGGCCCAAATAAACCAATTTATTTTTGGGTTCTGTTCCTCAGGGGTCACATGGGTCACATGGGCTTGGGAGGAGCCCCTGGCTTCTTTCTTTTACCAGTTCCATCTATGTGAAGATAAGTCAAAGGTCCTGGCTTCACTTGGAAGCATGGATAAAATGTTTCCTCTGAGTTGACACTCCTCTTTGTAATCTGGACACTGGTTCGAGTCCATCTGGTGGGGTCTCCATGGCCTCCCTGAACAGGGAGCAGGACAGGTTAACCATAGTTACAGGACATTTTGAGAGATGTTCCATAGTCCCCTGGAACTTAGTCGACCTTAGAGGGCAAGGGGCAAAACTGTCCTTTAAGTCCCTCTGACCAGATTAGTATAGGCCTCCAAGTATGGCTGTTAAACATCCAATAAAGTTAGTTCCACCAGTCTGGTACTTTTAATTACTAGGTGCTATGTACATAAAGCTTGGGTAAAAAAACAAATATTCTCAGATAAACCTTGACTAGATATATATTTTGTTTCTTAAATTAGTTGATTAAACTATGACCATAGACATTTTAAGGTTATGTGTATATTATTTTTGTCTCCTCATCCTCTATGTATCATAATAAACCTACACAGACCTTCATCACTTGCTCAGGGTTTCTCATTTTTTGTTACTTTGGAAAATATCTCCATTCCCACATCTTTCTAACATCTTTTATGTTCTCGTTTTCTTTTTTGAAAAACACATTATGACTTTCAGTCACGACCACCTAGGACCCATAGATAGGGGTGGTTTTCTATTCAGAAACAGAGGATTGTGGGACCTGTGGAAGGGATCCGGGGAAACAACCTGGACCATATCCTTTTAACATCTTTTACATTCTCATTTTCCTTCCTTTTTTAAAAATAATTATGAGACGTAATAGCATTAACAAATACATTTTCCATCTTTTGTGAGAATTCTTTTCCTGGGGATACTAAGCAATGCTTAGTCCCTTTTAAGGTTCTAGTGTCAAGCCAATGTTTGATTACAGTTTTACTAGGGAAGCAATGAATTTACTGAGCTTACTTACCGAGATAACTGAGGGGTTGCTGAGGTGTATGTATGACCTGAGCGTATGCAAACTGGAAAGCCTTTACCCAGCATGGATCATGCCTTCTCAGCCTTCCCCAGATTGTATACTTTAACCCTCCCAAATCCAGGAGACCATGTGTGATTAGGGCCAAATTCCATACAGTTGGCTGGGAAGAGTGGCTGATACTCTGGTGAGGGTCCAGTGACCCTGCTTGGCCCTCCTTTAATTAATGAGTACAACCATCAACAAGCCCAATTGTGATGTTTAGCGATCAGGCACAACTGAAGTCATGATGATGGTAGTTATTTCATGCAGAAGAGACTGCTGTAGAGCATCATCTTATTAAAAGGACATGGAATTTAAAAAGATTTGGTGTAGGATCCACATATGAGGGAGAACATACGTTGTTTACTCTTCTGAGTCTGTTACTTCACTTAGTATAACAGTTTCTAGATCCATCCAT